TCTTCCAAGTTTAAACTGATATTCAATATGCCTGGATTATACAGGAGCAGACAAAATTATCCATTTAAATTACTTTTATCTTTCTTATCTTTTACAGCGTTGCCAAATTTGTAATTTTTTTTCATATTTCAATTCCTCACTCACTTTGCTTAAAAAGGGGTATACCGTATATCAGTCAATATCTTGTACTGTTTTTAAGAAAATCGAATTTTATTAACAACATATCAAAAAAGTGATACTAACATTTTTGTAAAAATCTTGGTTTCTATAGAATTAAAGAAAAGAGAACTGTTAAGTAAGATGTTCAATATGTGCACCTTGAACTTCAATGCATTTTCTGAAATTGCTCAATCACCTCTACTCTACTCGAAATAACAAGTAGTGGTGATCATTTTTAATGATGTCGGCGTATGTAATTATGATATTTAATAATTCATCCCTTCTATTTATAGGAGTTTGATAAACAATACTTTTAAGATGGCTCCACAGAAAAAATCGAGATCGGATGAAGACTGGGGACCGAGGCGAACACGGAAAAGGACTACCTCGACCTATCCATGGATCGGGAAATGTAGTATTTAAATTAGCTCTTATTGCCCTGCTAAAATGAGGTGATTCCAATAATGGGTTAAGGTGTTCTTACAGTAAATATAGGTATTTGTTCCCATTTAAAGTGTCATCAATGATATGTGGTCCCACTAAGTAGTTTCCAATTATTCCCATCCATACATTAATGATAAATTTTTGTTGGCGTTTTGTCTGAATAATAGCATGGGAATATGCAAATTCTATTTGGAAAGCGGTTAGCGTAAATCCGAACGGCTTCAGAAGCTGCAAATTCTTCAGCTAAAAGCCTTCATGACATTGAATCAATAAATGCTGTCAAAATGATTTGTGACAAATATCTAACTGCTAATTATACATACTTGGTAACAGTGATCTCAATTTCCAAAGAAACCAAAGTTTTTACAAAAATGTTAATATTTTTTAACATTTTTGATACAATACATGTATGTTATTAATAAAATTCGATTGCCTCAAAACAGTACAAGATATCGACTGATATACCTACCAGTGGCGGCCCGTGGGTTTGAATACGGGGGGGGGCATTTTGAAAAGAGGACGTATATTATAAGAGCAGGGGGGGTGTGGGGGGCGGTAGTCCACCGCTAAGCGCCGCAGGCAGGAATTTGAAGGTCATTGTGTTTTGCAAGTACCCCAAAATGAATACTGTCAGTGTGTACAGTAGGTAGGTATGTACTTAGATACAATGCGAGAAGTAAAATTCCAACGTGTGGGGGCTGAAGTGGATAATCGATCAACCAACCCAGTTAGGATATAATTATGTAGATTACTGTAATAGTTCATTCTGTATAGTTTTTGAAGTTCCTTTAAAAACTGGGCATCACTAAGATGTTTATCTAAAACGGGATCAATTTTTGCACTATAGTCTATCAGTTCTAAAAATACCCCTTTGTTTACCGAGTCACTTTTTTTATTATGTCACGAAGAGGAGGGTTACATGCACCACATAGTTTTCTCTATTTTTCTTAACTGTTTCGTTATGATTATTTATTTGTTCTGCATAAGCACTATTTAAACAAGAAGCAATATTTACTCTTCCTAAAAATAAAAAACTCACCAACTTATTTTTGTGTTTAGGAGAATTTTTGTTTCTTAATTTTGTCCGGTAAATGTTTTCGTCCAGTTTTCTTCGCCTCCTCCAAACAATAAACATACAAAACAAAAAAATCTATTTGTTTCGTCACAACCACACAACACACACACAACCACAGGTTGTTATCATAAATGTTTTTATCAAATTTGAGAATAAAAGCCGGCCTACTTTTGCACTCTTTCTGTACCTGAACTAAATTCAACACTGGCGTTGGACGTCCGTTATTTTTCAATTCGACTTTTTCCTCTAAACTTAAATTACTAATAACAAGTTTTTTTATTTCACAAACCCTAATTTTAAACTTAAACTTATAAAATATAATGTCTTAAAAAGCACCAAAGCAAAAACAAAACACGTATAACCATACTTCAGTGATACGGGTTACTGCCTCGTGGAGTCCCAAAACAAAGCGCGCGAGCCTATCGTCGCCTATCCTCTCCAGGTGCCAATTTGTCCAATCACATGTAAAAATATGCTTGCACGATGGACTCAGATTTCATAGTCCGCGATGGAGTGGGGATTGCGCGCGCGGTCAAACATAACTCTTTGGTACGATCATAGATGGCAGATGGCATTAATCTGAGCTACGTTCACGGAGTACATGCACTTTATGCAACCAACCTAACATCCAAGAGATATTGAATGCATGCTATTTAGATTTCTTATTGATTTAAATAAATACATTATTTTAAGTTTATAGTTTGAAAATATCTGGGGGGGCGGAGTCCCAGAGTCCTCCTTCACGAGCCGCCACTGAACCTACGTATACCCCTTTTTAATAAAGTGAGTGAGGAACCGAACTATGGACGAAAAATGCCGCTGTCAAAGATGTATACATTTAAATGGATAATTTCGTTTGCTGCTGTATAATCCAGGCATACTGAATATCAGTTTAAACTTAGAAATGAACATTACCATGAGTTATAACGACAAGTATTAATTGGAATTTGTTTTTCAGACTTCTTTCTTTGAAGGCGAATAACTCCACAACGAAGCCCGATAGGAAAAAAATTAATACGAAGTACTACATCTATTTGACCTCCCTTGTATACCCTTCATTTTTTACCTTTATGGATACCCTGTATATACAGGGTGATTCAATAACAATGAGAAAATCGAAAGCTGAAGATACTACACGTGAAATGGTGACTATTGGCGCAAACATGCCTTATCCGAAAGTTGATAGTTTCGGAAATACAGGGTGTTGAAAATTAAAATTTTAAATCGTTTTTTTGCAATTATTCTGAAAATATGTAGGTTAGGAACTTGAAAATTTGTGAAACTATATTTTTTTAGGCGACGAATAAGATGCGTGTTGTAATTTCAGCATTGCTCGTAGAGGGCGCTACTTACGACCAATTTTACCGAAAATTTTGTTAATAACTTTTTACCCTGTATGTCTAACATGAAACTTCATTCAAAACCTGAAAGAGCAATAATTTTTCCATTAATTGTGTATTCTTGCTTTATTTCGGTATCTCGATCAGTTTTCGAGAAAAATCGATTTAACGAACACATGTTTTGATCATACGAGAAATTAAAAGCGACAGAAACCAAATGTTTCTTCGTGTTATTACAACAATTAACAATAAAAACAAATGAAATTCGTAATAATGATTTAAAGTCAGTGTTCGAAGAATCCACCGTTGACATTTACACACTTTACACAACGTTTTCTTCGTTTAAAATAATATATTGGGATTGCGTTTGACTTCGTTGGCAGCGATTTGTATTCTTTGCCACAACTCTTCACACGAACCAACAGATTCTTCCAAATAGAAAAATGAAGAGGATTTAAGTCCAGACTTCTGGGTGGCCAAGTAAAAATGCTTCCACGGTTTGAAGAAGTTCCACTTTATATTTAAGAGACATGTGGTTCATGCACGACGGAGCTCCACCGCATTTTTCTTGGCCAGTGCGTGCGTATTTAGATGCAGTTTTTCCAAATTGCTGGATTGGCCATGTAATCATTTTTGCTTGGCCATCCAGAAGTCCGGACTTCATTCCTCTTGATATTTCTATTTCGTCTCGAATGAAATATATAGTTTACAAATAATCTATTGGCTCGTGTGAAGAATTGTGGCAAAGAATACAATTTACAAATCGCTGCCAACGAAGTCACACGCAATCCCAATATGTTGTTTCAAACTCGAAGATCTCTCAGAAAACGTGTAAAGTGTATTAGTGTCAACGGTGGATTCTTCGAACAATTACTTTAAAACATAATTACGTATTTTATTTGTTTTATTGTTAATTGTTTAATAACACGAAGAACCACTTGGTTTGTTTCGCTTTTAATTTCTCATAATATCAAAACATAGTGTTCGCTAAATCGATTTTTCTCGAAAACGGATCGAGATAACGAAATGAAACAAAGGTACATAATTAATGGGAAAATGATAGCTCTTTCAGGTTTCGAATCAAGTTTCATGCTAAATATACAGGATAAAAAGTTATTAACTAAATTTTCGGTAAACTTGGTTGTAAGTGGCGCCCTCTATTAGCAATGCTGAAATTACAACACGCATCTTATTTGTCGCCTAAAAAAATATAGTTTCACAAATTTTCAAGTTCCTAACCAACATATTTTCAGAATAATCGCAAAAAAACGATTTAAAATTTTAACTTTCAACACGCTGTATTTCCAAAACTATTAACTTTCGGATAAGGCATGTTTGCGCCAATCGTCATCATTTCACGTGTAGTATCTTCAGCTTTCGACTTTCCCATTGTTAATGAATCACCCTGTATATCAGGTGTCTCAGTTGTATTGTTCTAATGGCATATCTCCATTACCTAAAAAACTTATTTGAAATTTGGTCTGATATACACCTAAATTTCTTTAAATTGAGCCTATTAAAATTCTTTCACTTCCAGTTTAACCGGAAACGATCGTAACTTTTTAAATTTAAATGGCACCCTGTATATTTATCTTAAAATTGGGGCCTTCTCAAAAAAACAAAGTGTTTTTAAAATTGATGACATTGATGGAGGGCAAAGTGTTGGTGTTTCGGGAAGTGTGCTTAATAGTCCACATATTTCAATTTGAGAATATACAATATAAGTTAAATTAAAACAGATTCCATATATCTGATGTTGCTCCGAATTACTCTGAAAAGAAACTCAAAATTTCGATTTAAAAAAATCTTACATGACATTTTTAATAAGCAAATAAAAAGTTAAAATTTGGTACCTTAGTTTAAATATAAAAGAAAATTTATGTTTTCGAAATATAATAATTAAAATGTAAAATATCTCTTATGTTTTGCAACAAATATACAAAAACGTTATTATGGGTATGCAACAGATATAGTTAACTTACCATGACCTGATGTGCATTTCAAAATACTTCTCTTTCGTATGCGTATGGTTATAATTTCATTAACTTTTTTAAATCTCAAGCGCACATACATGAGCGTCATAATAAGTGTATGAAGTATGTAGGATTTACACAAAGTTCCTACAGTTAATATAATTTGTTGTATTACTTCAAATTCAACGAACGACAACAGTAAAATAAGTTTTACAAAATGAGAGATTGTTAAGTACATCATGTAATTTAGTTGCCCTAAATAAATTTTTCGATAAAAATTTGAATGCAACAGGTTACCATGCATTGTAAAATCCGTATCAATTTCAGCTAATATTCGAAAATATGCTACTGGGAATTTTTTATTTGTCAGTATTCCCACGAATATATTTAAAATCAGAATTGAACATATGTATGAAACATTTTTAGTGCTCAGCAGTTCCGCATTTTCATCTCTATGAATTGCCATTTGTGCTATGATATAACAAAAAGAGGCTATATAAAAAATTTGTATCAAATAAAGATACAAATTTGTCTTGATACGTTTCGGTTTCATAACGGTCGTTATATGCCAAGAAACAGAAGGTCTTATTCCTAAGACACTTCCTAATAAATAATACACTTTTACAGATGACAAGTTTTTTTGAAGTAGCTTTTCAACTGATGAGTTTTTATCTGAGACACTGTAGTTTTGCACTTTCATGATGCAAGTAAGTATGTTACCCCTTCTAAGTATATAGAAAAAATGTATAACAAGTAATGAAATATTCAGATATTTTAATAACTTTAATGGACTGTATAATCATTAATAGATATACTATGTAGATATACTATAATAATTATATATCCTTATCCTATAACCATTATAATGCCATTATGTATTTATTTAATATTTGATATGGTACACATAAGTAATTAGGTAATAATTAAGTAATTTTGCTTTGGATAAAACTAGGTAATTCTGTGATAATAAATTTCAATTTTAACTTTTAATTTAGAAAATTTTTCTTATTTTATACCTCTTGGTAGGTGCTGGATATGCTCACAAAAAGAGCTATAGAAATCAGTGTGGGGGATGCCTCCACAAGAGGAATTGCTGCAAGGGGCTGTGCGCAGGGAGGTGTTTTATCACCACTGCTGTGAAACCTAGTACTAGACAGTCTCCTATGCCACTTCAACTCGGAAGGCATCTATACCATCGCCTATGCAGATAACCTCACTATGCTGATTAGCGGAAAATTCGAAGGGATCCTTTGCCAAAGAATGCAAACAGGCCTAAGAATTATTGAAAAGTGGTGTAAGGACCATGCTCTATCAGTGAATTCCAGGAAGACGGAAACGGTCCTCTTCACGTGGAAGAGAAAACTGGGGCCAATAAAGGCACCAACTCTCCTAAACACTACGCTAAGCCTTGCATCTGATGTGAAATACCTAGGGGTTACACTCGATGCAAAGCTAACATGGAATCTTCACTTTGAAAGAAGATTAAAAAAGGCATACATATCCTGTGAGCAGTGCCGCAGAACCGTTGCCGTTGGCAAAACCTGGGGCATGAAACCAAATGTGGTTATGTGGATATACACTGCCATGGTGAGGCCAATGTTAGCCTATGGGGCTGTCGTCTGGTGGCCGAAATCCCAGCAGACGACAGCTAGACAAAAGTTCGGCCAAGTACAAAGGATTGCCTGTCTGAGCAGAACTTGAGCTATGCGTACAACACCCACCATAGCAATGGAGGCAATGCTGATATACTCTAGATCCTTGCACATCCGATATAAGTGGGTAATGGATAGGCATGCTACCGTTGTACAAACGGAGTTAGCAGGCATAACCATAGCCGCTAAAGAAATCGCCCGCAGCCCGCAGGCATACTACGGGTAAAACCATCAGAATCTACACAGATAGTAGACAAGCACTACTGACCTTACGTAATCACAAGATAATGACTAGGACAGTATGGGAATGTCATCAAGCACAGGTTGTGGCCTCGGCCTCCAACAGCATATCTGTATGCTGAGTAAAGGGACACGAGCGGTGCTATAGCAATAAAGAAGCTGACAAGCTAGCCAGGAGCGCATCGGGCCCCAACATTTTTGGACCCGGTCCCTCCAGTGTGCTTCCGTTGTCGGCACTTGCTGGAATTATTAAGGAAGACACCCACAAAGAATTCATGAAACGGTGGGATGAAACGATTAGCTGTCATTTCGCTAAGGAGCTTTTAGTGTATCCTAGCAAAGACAGCCAAAAAATACCTGGCCATGTCTAGATCAAATCTTCGCCTGGTGACAGGCATTCAAACTGGACACTGTTGGCTAAGGAAACACCTTTACAATATGGAGAAGTGTGAAACACCTCTTTGTAGGGGTTGTGAACAGGAAGACGAGACGGTATTGCATGTACTATGTGAATGCACTGCCGTCTCGTCAACAAGAGAGATGTTCAGAGAACGCTGGCCTTCAATGGCCTATATTGGAGAGATCTTCCTGAGCAACGTCACCACCTTTTTCGCTGTAATAGGCTGGTTAGCGGCTCAGGTGGATTGATCTCCTAATGGAAGGAAGTACAAGGGGCCCAATGGGGCCTAAGTGCTGTAGCTTTGCTACCCTTTCCACAAATCCAGAACTCCAGAAGTGCTGTGTATTAGATACTGCAACAAATTAAAAGTAAAATGCCAAACTGCTGACTTGAAATTTCACCTACTCATTTCACTCACTCAGCTCACTCTAGTGCATATTCAATATATTTTAAAGAAATTATGGAATGTCTTAAAATATTACACAGCTACACAAAAAAAAAGTTTTGTACCTACATAGATTTTTTACGCTGAATCCAAATCCATAGCCTAAAAACCGATTTGCCAGGTAATTTTTTAGTAAAACTCTAAAACATTACCAAAATAAGGTGAAATAGTAATAGTGAGGATAAGGTAAAGCTTTAAAATGAAATGCAACAATTTGTAAATATTTCGAGAAAACAGTTTAAAATAATAATATTTTGAGCATTAGAAAGAAATATATAGGGTGTCCGCAAATTTCACCAACAACGTTTGACTGTATATTCACGACGATAAATAAATAGGATCTACGAAGAAAGAGTTAAATAAATTTTTTTTGGTTTTTGTGTTACATGCCTTCAAATTTGTCAAAAATAAAACTAATTTAATTGATAACTTCATAACCCTTTTGCCGATCGCGTTAAAATTTGGCACACTTATTTGGACTATTATGGCGCATTATTTCTTAAATCTTTAGTCAAATCGATATATTGGGTGATAGTTTTCTCCGGTTACCTCTCCCTTTTAGAGGTCATAACTTTTACACTGGTCATATTTTTTTAAACGGGCAGCAATATTGAAAAAAGGTCGTTTTATTTAAAAAAAATATTGTCACTTGAAAAAATCGCCTACAGAAAGCCTTTCTTGATAAAAATGGCATTATTTACAAGTCTGTGCGTTTCGGTTTGCGTAGCAGAGTCACGGATTTATTAACTTTGAGATCAGTAGGCGTTGAAAACAAGATATTGATTGCTGTGGCTATCAGGTAATGTCATTATTGTCGTGTTTCTTTAGGATTCTCATCACTCCACAACAAGTAAAGTAAATCAAATCAAATCAAAGCATTTTTGGCATCTTTTGGTTATAGAATTCACAGCAGCTCTCTGATGAAAACTGGATTTTGCTTCAAATTAGTGCAGGCCTCATTTAGCTGGTCTCTATTTGCCATAGGAACGGCATAAACATAATTTTTTAGTTTACCCCAAAAAAAAAATCTAAAATATTTCGATCAGGTAATCTAGGTGGCCAAGGTATGAGGCCATTCCGACCAATCCATCTGTTTTGGTAGTGGTTTGCCAGCCATTCACGAAATACCTGGCCAGAATGTGCTGGCGCTCCGTCCATTTGAAACCAGTTCCTGATTCGTTGGTCCAAAGCTATCTCCTCCATTAACTGGAACAGACGTACTATTGTCCAAAAGAATTTAAAAACAGATCGGAATTTAGTCTAGGTGGCAAGATTATCACCTATAACTCCTATCCATACATATGTTTGGTATGTGTACCAAATTTGAATAAATTTGATGAAGCGGTTTTCCAATTATTTAAAAAAAATTGTTTTTTTTTCTGTTAATTTCACCGCCTTGTATCTCATAAACAGTGGCTTTCTGCGCCTATGTTCATAGATCAAAGTGATGTTAATTTTTGTTGTTTAGTACTTTCCTAAAGTTTGACTATATTAAAATCTGGACCACCCAAATGCGTTTTATTTTTGCCTATAAACGCTTTGTTTACTTGGATAGTATGTCTCATAACTCATAAATCATTCACTTTTCGACAAAAATAAAAGAATGTTTTTTCATTCGGAATGTTTCAGACCGTTATAAAATGTATTCATATTACCAATTAGTTCAGTGGTGTAGTTTTACTTTAAATAAGAAAACGATATCCTTGTTTCTCTATTAAATCTGGACCATCCTGTATATTTGGTAGTATAAAATACAAGGCTATAGTTTTTCACATTGTTTTGCACTAACATTCTTTATTTGATCTTACAAGTGGAATTAACCCTCTCGTAGGGTAGTATGAATTTAATTTGTATATATTTCTTTCTAATGCTCAAAATATTTTTAAAATTTTTTCTCAAAATATTCACAAATTGTTGCACAATTGTCGTAGGTACATACATTATAAAGATTTAGATTATCTTCACTACTTCACCCTATTTTAGGGAATATAAAAAATGACCTGGTAAATCGTTTATTGTGCTGCGTATTGGGATTCAGCATCAAAAAATACACAAAATCTATGTAGTCATGTATCTGGTACAATACTTTTTTTTGTGGCTGTGTTATTAGATTCTATATAAAAAATTAGTTCGAAAATATTAATATGTAAAACCAAGGTAAAATATAAAAATTAATATTAGTACTTAAATATGTTAAATTCAAATAGTGCTTGAATCTGTTTCAAGTTTAAAAAAGTATATTCCGTATAGACCTAGTCAGACTAGCACGTTTATTATAAAATACGAAACATATACCTTGAACACAAAGAAATTCAATTTAAATTCGTATTAACTGCATTTTAAATTAGAAACAAAAAACATATATTGGAGGT